CACACACACACACACACACACACACACACACACACACACACACACACACACACACACACACACACACACACACACACACACACACACACACACACACACCCTGCTTTGTTCAAGGGCCCCAAAATGAAAAGATTTGTCTTTGCTACAAGTAGCAGTTCTTACCCCATTTCTAGTGTGTGGTGCATGCTGTTTCCAGCAGCTGATTTTGCAAGCAGGGGTTCATGCTTTATTCAAGTAAATATGGCATTTCTTGCCTATAGTTAAGTAGGCTCAGGCTGGCTCAAATGAAAGGATTTATTCTGGTCATAAGTAATGGTTCTTACCATATTTCTAGTGTGTTGCATGCTATTTCTAGCACCTGACTTCTTATGAGGGGGAAGAGACATGTTATATTTGAGAAAATAAAGGCAGGAAATACTATATAACTAAACGGGGTCAGGCTGGTTCAGACCCTGGAAGGGAGACTGGCTGGTGAGTCTCTTTACTGCTTGCAGCTAAGCAGGGTCAGGCTGGGTTAGGAGCTGGCGAGATCAGGCCAGGAGCAGTACTGTAATTCCTTCCTATAACATACCCACTAATAAAAATCCCCAATTTGATTTTTAAAAGGCCTGGACAAAGAAGAAGAGATTTGTTTTTGCCACGAGTAATAATTATCATACTTCTAGTGTATATTGCATGTTATTTCTAGCAGCTGATTTGAATGGAAAAGACACGTATTAAATTTGAGAAAATATGTTTTTTCCTGCCTCCAGCTAAGCAGGCTTGGGCCAGCTCAAATGAAGAATAGAGTTGTCCTTCCCATAAGTAGTCATTCTTGCCTTGCTTCTCGTGTGTATTGCATGCTCTCAGGGGTTTCGGTTGTCAGGGTTTAGGTTGTAGCCGTGTTGGTCTAAGGGCATAGGCAGACAAGGTTCCTTGGGTGAACTTGATATCTTTTATTAGACCAACCCAAATATTAAGCAAGCTTTTGGGTTCAGAAACCCTTTGTCAGGCTAAGGAAGTGTCAGCAGTGGGTGTGTGCTCTTCCTGGATGGACTGAAAAGTAAAGAAGCCAGGGGCTGGGCTGGGGAGTCGGACGCATGCTCTCTGCTTTCAAGGGTTGTATTGAAGAAAGTATGGTATTTTCTGCCTTTAGCTAAGCAGGGTCAGGCTGGGGTAGAGACTGGAAGGGAGACTGGCTGGGTTCTGGTTGAATCTGGCTGTTGCTTCTAGCTAAGCAGCATGGGGCTGGGTCAGGGGGGCTGGAGGGGAGACCAGGCCAGGAGCAGGACCATAATTCCTCACCTATAACAAACACACCCACAAATAAAAATCCCTGCTTTGTTTTTAAAAAGCAGAAAAGAAACGATTTGTTCTAAGGAGCAGCTCTTACCGTATCTCTATTGCAGGGGTGGGCAAAAGATGGCCCGTGAGCTGAATCTGACCTGCCAAGGGATTTCATTTGGCCCAAAGTGGGTCCTTTGGCCTCCCCTGGCCCAGGTGCGGCAGGCAGCCCAGGCCATGGCAAATAATTGCCTGTCCTCCTTCCCCCCTCTCCCCTGCAATTCTAGCTTCTCACCAGTGCGTGCTGTTTCCAGCAGCTGGCTCTGGTGGGGAAAGACGCGTGTTGTATTCAAGACAATACGGTATTTCCTGCCTCTGCCTAAGCAGGGCCAGTCTAGGTCAGAGCCTGGGAGAGCGACCAGCTTGACTGCAGTTGGGTCTGCCTGCACTCCTCATAGCGAAGCTGGGTCAGGCTCTGGAGGGGAGACCACGGCGCGGGTTCTG